ATATATATATATATATATATATATGTATATGTATATGTATATGTATATATATACATGTATATATATATATATATATATATATATATGCATATATATATATAAATATATATATATATATATATGTATATATATATGAGTGTGTGTGTGTGACCTTTAATGGTGAATGTTCAATAAGATAGTTCACATTTTTATCCAGCTCGAATTAGCGTTGTATATGGGATAAACGTAATCAAAACTTCAATTGTCTCTCCATTGTCTACTTGTAGGAGATCCGCGAAGAGAATCATCCCAACTCACGAAGGGCAATCGAGTAAGTGATATAGTCTTCAGTTAGAGATTCACCTACGCTTTGCGGCGCGAGGCTGTGCTCTGCGAGTACTAGCATGTTTAATGGTTGCTTCAATTGGAGTGCATAGTGTATAGTTGTATCGTCATGGAATCGCAAACGCCCAATTCGGTCTATTTATGGCGTCTCAATGATACCCTCTTCTCTGTATGTGAATTCTACCCCGTATGTTTCAACCTGTCTGTATGTACCTTCCTAATAGAATCAACTGCCCCTTATACAGCCTTCTTTTGGTGTCGTATATCCCCTTTATGTGCCTTCGCAGGAAGATTACTACCTTCCAGGCCGCTAGTGTTCATTATTCTTTTTTAAATATGCTCGTGTGTAGGGTCTTGACAGAGGAGCTACCAGTCGGCGTCCCCGCGAAAGACCACTTGTATTGATGTCTCGCAGTGAAGGAGACCGCGAAACAATAACGAAGATAGTGATCCATACTTGCGATTCAATTATGAATAAACCCAAAATCGCCTTGTACAGTATCGAATACTATTGTAGATGCCATGACAATTACAAAGCAAGTTTCTACAAATATATTATCCCAAGATTCAATGTTTTCCCAATATCGCGAGGCATCAGAAGTAGTTTATGGGTCTATCTTTCGGTACATTTAGATGGAGGTTATTAGAGACTGGTCAGCTATTCGTTCCACCTATCGAGCTATCAGAGATGAATACCCAATACTCGATTCTAATGGTCTGGAGATGGCAAGTTTCGATTTATTTTGCAATAATATCGTTTGCTTTAGTTCCAAGCATGCAAGTTATGGACTTCTCCGGCTCCTTGTCTCTTTCTTCTGCCAGCCTGTCCAAAAATTTCAACCGGGGCAAATTCTTAGCCCCCATACTCAGCTTGTACGCCATACTCATACCTAAATCCCAGTATGTATAACCGCACCTCTCTAATAATCTCCCCAGCGCAATACACTGCACTGTACCTGACCCGCTCTCGCACGTAAACCCAGAAAGACTCGTATAGGTGCGCCCCAATGTGTACCCTATTTCACCTGCTACCAGATGTTCCCCATTCTTATCCCACAACTCTATCGTCCTTACCCGTATTTTGTCTCTGCTATTGATCTGCGCTGTATTTATATCCATTCTGTCTGGGGACGGGTTCTGGGGTGTTTGTGTGTGCGTCTGTGTGTGTGTGTGTTTATGTATTGTTTTATCTTTGGCGTTAGGTTTGTCCTCTTGTATTGGAAAGCAGGAAGGCAATGCTACATGCAGCTTGCGGAAGGCATCTACCAGAGGCTTCCTCAACCAGCAACTGTCGTGATATGCATGGCACCGGCGGATGATCTAGAAGCGATGGTGTATCGATTCAGGGTCAGTGTTGGTCAACGAGATGATAACGTATCATTCATTCGTGTGCGCAGGTTGCATACCAGGGTCAGTATATATACCTATGTGTAAATCTTGTTTCAATGTATGCACCTGTGCTGTATATATATATATTTATATATATATGCCATACAGTCGCCACACACTGCATTATGAACGCCCCATCCAGAAAATATCAGAGTGGTTTGGCGATGCTACAGCCTAGATCTTACTCACGCTCGCTACATTGGACGTACGCATACTCCTGAATGTCTCACTACCGTAGTTTAGAAAGCATTAGTTCACTACCTTATAAGCGTTTTACCTTATAATCGTTTTGTTCCAATGACATTGACTAGACATTCGAGAACCCAACGAACTTTTGAATTTAACCCCGAAAAGTGTAAAGAAGCACACCAACGTGAAACATCTTGACTATTTACACAACCACATTAAACAGTAACCACATGTTACCAAATCGAGTACTTTAACATAACTTCACGCCAAACGAACCAACATGCATTCGGATGTCCCACTCACTTCATCAAATGCAGTGTCTATAGTTAGTCGATACTTCTTCCCCTTCTTCTTGACATTTTTAGAGACATGTAGATCACCCGACTGTAACATAATCATGCACCTGAAAGAAAGGATAAATTTAATTGCTAAGGTTGCACGATAGTAAAAATAGGGAAAGCGAGCTGCGGAGACGTACAGAGGTGTACATATTTATTTAAATGTATCTTTACAAGTCCACACATAAACACACACATACTTGTATATATATATATATATATATATATATATATATATATATATATATATATATATATATATATATATATATATATATATATATATATATATATATATATATATATATATATATATAATATATATATA